TCCACGCCAGCCCCAGTCCCAGCACCGTCAGCAGCCCCACCAGCAGCAGGGTCGAGCCGATCATGGCCTCGGGCGACGCCCTCCAGTTCTGCCGCGTGCGGAAGGAGCCAAGGATGTTGCGCGCCTTCCAGGCAAACAGCACGAGGATGGCGAATCCCGTGATGCGGTGCAGGTGCATGGCCGCGATCCACTCTGGGTTCGAGTGGGTGAGGCCCAGGTACCCGGTCAGCAGCTCAAACGTGAACAGCGCAATGAGCGCAACATTGGCCCAGGGAAATCGCACGGCGTTAGCTCCGCACCTCGATTTGGCTTACCGCTTGGGCAATTCTACCTGCCAATGGACGATACGCCTCAGCCAACGTTCAGGATTCATAGCGACAGTGGCGAAAAACGGCGGAGCCGGACTATCCGGCCCCGCCGCTCGATAATTAACGCCCTGACTTCTTTACCGTAGGTCAGTGACCGTGCCGTCGGATTCGATGCGCATCCCCACGATGGGGCCGAGCTTGCCGTTGAACGTATCGGTAATTATGGGATTGCTGGTGTCGCCAACAGCTTTCAGCCACCCCGGTATGACACCCCCTGTTGCTGCCTTCCGGCTCAATTGCTGCAGTTGTGGCGAGAAGGGTAGGTATTCCATGCCCGCGTCCCGTAGCCTCGTCATCCCGACCTCGTTTTGAATGGAGGCCAAGCGCAGCGCCTCCAGTTCCAGCTTGGCGCCTTCCTCCAGGATTATCTGCTGCAGGTCGGCAGGTATGGAGTTCCACAAGTCTCTGCCGATCACATTGCCATTTGCCTGTATGTTGTAAATCGGTCCCATCACATAGTCGGCCACCTCGTACCAACGCTGTCCGTGGCCCGTCACGGCTTTGGTGATGGCGCAATCCAGTCTGTTTCTCTCGATCCAGGTGTATACATCGCCGAAGCCCAATTCTTGGGCTTCTCCACCCATTGCTTTGATCCAGTTCGAGAGAGTTGCGACGTGAGACCGTGTTGTTTTGCCATAGAAGTCGCTGGGCGATTCTATGGCCTCTCTGCAGAACAGGAATTGGTCCTGACCGGCATACCAGCTATGGCTGATAATTTGCCCTCCTCCTGTCCCGTCGGCGACCAGCCGGTCTAGATCACTGACCATTAAGGGCTGCAGCTCTATATGATTCCTCTGGTGAAGATGCGCTCCCCCAGAGGCTCTGGATAGACAGGGCTGGAATAGATCCTGCCGCGTAACCGCCGTATACAGTCCCCGCAGGCAGGGTGCCATCAGCTACAAGGTCTAGTGTATCTGGACCTGCCAATCCCAGTTCGGGGAAAGAACTGACTTCGAACCTGACCTGCCCGTTCGTCCTGTCCAGAACGTTAGACGCGAAGTAGTTCTCCATCAGCTTGCACGGCAGCAGGCCACGGTTGATACAGGCGAACTGAATATTAAATCCCTCTCCACTGCTGGTTAGTCGCGTCGGGTTAGCCCACCGGGCCCTGTCGAGCAGTTCCCAGTAGTAGCCCGACTCGTAAATCCACGAGTGCCGCTCGAGTGAATCCAGCGGCACGTTGCCTCTGTCATCACCCAAGTCCCGCACGGGCGCCGGGCCGGCCAGCTGGCTGAGATCTCCGACGTATATGGCGCCTGGACCGCCGGCATTCAGGGTGGCGTAGGGGACCAGTTCCTGAGGTGCAGGCCGCGTGGCCGTCTCCGCCTCCGCCTCCGTAGCCGTCTGCGTTGGCGCCGGCGTAGGTCGAGGCGTCGAAACAGTAGGTGTGGTCCCGCCCAAATCGGTCACTGTGCCGTCTGCCTCGATGCGCATGCCGACGATCGGCCCCACCTTGTTGTTGAACGTCTCGGTAATGATCGGGTCTCTGGCGTCTCCCAATCGCCTGATCCAGTTGGGAATAACCTGGTTAATTACAGACTGTCTGCTCAGTTGCTGCAATTCGCTGGAGAAGGGTGTGTATTCCATTCCCGCTTCCAGGAGCTTGGGGAGCCCGACCTCGTTTTGAATTGGAGCCAGTCGCAGCGCCTCCAGTTCCATCTTGACGCCCTCTTCCAGGATGATCCGCTGGAGGTCGGAGGGGATGCGATTCCAGAAGTCACTGTTGATCACATTTGCCTGCGCGGTGACGCTGTAGATCGGCCCAGCGATGTAATCGGACACCTCGTGCCAGCGTTGGCCATAGCCTGGGACGCCTCCAGTTACGGCGCAATCCAGTATCCCTCGCGCAAAGGCGCTGTAGACCTCGGCAAATGCAACAAACTGTGCCTGCGCACCCATCCCCGGTTAACCAGTCCGGGAGCGATGCACTATGGGAGCGTGTTCTCCTGCCTTGTAAGTCACTGCGAGATTCTACGGAGTCCCGGCAGAATAGGTATTGGTCCGAACCGGCGTACCAGCCGTGGCTGAAGATCACGCCGCCACGGGTCCCGTCCTCAATCAACTGGTCAAGGTCGCCGACCATCGACGCGGCAGCTTGATACGATCCTTCGGCCGACGAATGGATGCCATAAAGTGTCTGGATCTCAAGGGCGGGAATTTCACCGGTCGCATACCCGCTGTAAATGGTGGCGCTGGTCAGGCTTCCATCTGACACCAGATTGATGGCATTGGGGCCTGCCACCCCTAGTTCAGGGTACGAGGTGATATTGAATCGGACTTGGCCGTTGGTCCTTGCCAGCACGTTAGGGGCGAAATAACTTTCATAAAGCCTGCAGGGCAAGAGCGCCCGGTTGATGCAGACGAACTGTATGTTTAGCTGCTCTCCACTGCTGGTCAGCTGCGTCGGGTTGGTGACACTGGCCTTTTCCAGCAGCGACCGGTAGTAGTCTGACTCGTAGATCCACGAATGCCGCTGTAGCGAATCCAATGGCACCTGGCCGTTCCTGTCCCCGAGGTCCGGCACGGGCGCCGGGCCGGCCAACTGGCGCAGATCGCCGACGTAGACAGCGCCGGGGCCGCCGGCGAACTCCGCCGCGTACGACTCAAGACTCTGTGGCCGTGCTGCCACCGCGGTCGGAAACGGCGTGGCCGTCGGCGCACGTGTGGGAACAGGTGCCGGCCGCGTTGCTGTCGGCGCGGGCACGGTGGCAACGGGTGGAACAGTCGCCGTCGGTGCGGGCGGGGCAGTAAGCGTTGGTGTCGGTGTGAGCGTCGGACTGGTCGTTGGTGTTGGTGCAACCGTGAGCGTTGGTGTTGGCGGCTCGGTGGGCTCCTCGTCTGGCGTCTGCGTGGCGGTGTTCTGCGGCTCACGCGTGGGGCGTTCGGTTGCCTCCTCCACATCGCATGCGAGTAGGAGCAGGAGGAGGACCAGCAGCACCAAGGCGCCGATGATGATTAGGAAACGAACAGGCGACAGGCTACCATGGAACATCGTTAATCGCCTACGGACTGACTGCTGTTCAGGTATATGGCGCCCTCCCGCATCCGGGTCAAATAACCCAGCCATGTCATATGGCCCAGCCTAAACTCACCTGGTCATCGGGTTGCCTAGACGACCTGGTACGTCCATATCTGGTGGAACACCTCCGGCTCTCCCTTGGGCAGGGGCTGGAAAGGCTCCGTTGCCTCGACGAGCTTCCATTGGCCGGCTTCCTCCATCTTCTTGAAGTATTCTTGGAAGCCGTCGTCCACCATGTCGGTTCGCAGGCTGAATACGACGTAGCCGCCGGGCTTTGTCACCCGGACCAGTTCATCGAACCCCTCCACCGGGGCGTGGCCCAGCGTGAAGACTCCGACGCTGACCACTGCGTCAAACTGCCCGGTTTCAAATCCCAGGGTCTCCCCCAGGGTCATCTGGTGGAAGGAGCTGTACGCGTTCTTGCGCTTTGCCTCATCCAACATGCCCTGCGACATGTCCATTGCCGCCATGTTGGTGAACCCCACGTCGGCCAGGCATTTACCAACCAGGCCTGTCCCCGCCCCTGCATCCAGGATCGCGGCGCCCGGCGGGACCAGCTTCGCCAGCGCGTTGGCGCCGTTCTGGGGGGCGTTCCAAGCGAATACTTGGTCCAGATCATTGTCATACTCGGTGGCCCACTGGTCGTACCGTTCTTCAAGTTCCTGGTTGTTGGTGGATTCGTATACCCATTGGACGCGATCGTGGCTGTCCCGCATTGTCATAGTTTCCTCCATTTCAAATTCCCTCTCCCCGCCAAGGGAGAGGGAATTTCTGTGTGATCATTCGCGATGTCGAGGCCCTTGAAGTTTACTTGCGGCAGATGTACAGGCCCCATCCCAACTCGTCGTTTTCACCGCCTGCGCCGTGCCCAGGTACGCCTCGGTGAGCCACTCGTAATGCTCGGTGTGCTCGTCGTTGGTGCCTTTGGGCGTTCTGTCGGCCAAGCAGAGATATGACTGCCGCAGGTGCCTGGAGATGTTCTCGGCCTCCAGTATCTCAAACCCCTGGGCCTTCAGCGCGTCCTGGTACGACTCAAAGCTGAACTCCGTGTCGTACAGCAGCCGGTCGTAGACAAACCGCTGCGCCTCCGGGCTGACGTCCTGCTTCGGCTTGATCAGGTCGTCGAATACGAAGATCCCGCCGTCCTCCAGCACCCGGTACACTTCCTTGAGCACCGTGCGCTTGTCCGGCACGTGGTAGATAACGGCCTGGCTCCAGATGCGGCTGAACGAGCCATCCGGGAAGGCAGCTCTGTGGCCGATGCCTTCTCGAAGGCCAGCCGTTCCCGCAGCCCGGGATCCTGCCGCTCGCGGGCGGCCTTGGCGTTGTCGATGCGCACGCCGCTCAGGTCAATGCCGGTAACGTTGCAGCCGGAGTACTCAGCCAGCCAGATGGCCGTCGTGCCGTTGCCGCACCCCAGGTCCCAGTCCAGGGCCCGCGCGTCCGACGCAATGCGCCCCTTCTCGACCATTATCCGGTCGAGATTCGCGCAGCCCTTCAGGAAGTCAGTGCCGGTCGTGTCGTCGAAGTATCCCCAGTGGACGCTGCCATCCTCGTCCCATACGGTTCGGTAGATGGCATCTTCGGCGTCGTAGTACGACTCGGTTTCCTGCTCAGTGAACCTGCTGGACATGCTTGGCGCCCTCCAGGTACTCCACGAATCGGTTGTTCTCGTCGACGAGGATCATCTGTGGGTCAATCGGAGTGTCGGAGACTTCGAAGGACATGATGATCAGGCAGTTGCCCTTGGCGCTGAGCCGTGCGGCCGCGCCCTGGACGGAGATGACGCCCGAGCCCCGCTCGCCAGCGATGGCGTAGGTCTCGAAGCGGTTGCCGTTGGTCACGTCGCAGACCAAGACCTTCTCGAAGTTCCAGAGGTCGATCTTGTCCATCAGGTTTTCGTCGATCAGGATGCTGCCGATGTAGTCGGGGTTCGCGTCGGTCACCCAGGCCCGGTGAATCTTGGATCGTAGTACTTCTCGCATTATTTCCTCCTCTATGGTGATGCGATTGGTGGTGTTTTTCGCTGTCTGTTTTGAATGAATCTAAAAATTACGAAAATTCCGTATCTGTTTCCGTTGACAACCGAACTAATTAGGAGTCATCCTTCCACCAGTCGGCCAATTTTTGTCAAAAATTGGCGCAAGTATTCCCGCAGTGGTGAGTTGAGGATTCGATGAACCTGCCGCGGGCCCGACTATAAGTCGGCATTCCGGGCATCAGTTGGGGCGAGGCGGGAAAGGCCGGTGGGAGAAGCCCCATTCGTTATCGATTGGGGTGGGGAGCTAAGGCTCGCAGGGCAGGCTGTACCTCTGACGATTTCGGATTCGATTTCCGTATCTATTCCGAACCGGAGGCCTCGTAGAGTAATAAATCATCTTTAATTCCATCGGGTTGGTATTGGGACCCGGTTTGTCTGGCCTCAGGGAGCCGTAGCTCGACCTGGAGTCGCCGGGCATCGTTGGCTTGGGATTTGCCTTCCAAGCAGTTCGCGGGCAGTCTAGCATCGGCTGAAGGAGTGGTCAACTTTCTGGCAACCCTCTCATGCTGATAAATAGCGCTGCTGCGAAATGTTTTCTCTATTTATCGTAACATTTGTTGGGGCTTTCTCTAATAACCGCAAATATTTAAATTGAAATTGACTGTATTGCTACAAACGGAAGGCATTCCAAGGCAATACAGCGGAATTGCCAAGCGCCCACCGGTCGATCAGCTCCGGGCCGCAAGCTGGCAGTCTCACGTCGCACCCGCGCCTGCCACCGGCGGGAGGCGTCAAACGCCCAGCGGCATCTCTTGAGTCATTGTGACCGTGTCCGGACCCAGCAGGTCCTCCAGCCGTTCTCGCAGCGGGTCGCAGTATCCCGTGCTCACCACCGGCAACTCCATCAGCACCCGCTTGCTCGGCGTGCGGATATCAAGGTTGACCTTGTCGCGTCCCGGGTATTCCAGGATCACGCCGATAACCTCCCTCAGGAGCATCGCGTCGTGCTGCGGATCGCCCGAATCGGTGACCACCAGCTGCACCAGACGGTTGCTGGCTGCGTACGCCGCGGCGCCGGATCCCTCGGCGGATGGGCTGTGGCCGTTGCCGTTGCCATTCCCGCTGGCGTGGGCCGCCTGAGATTTCCCCTTGCCGTTGCTGCCCTTGGCCGGGGCGGATCTGCCGCTCCCGGTGGCGTTGGCCGGCAGAGTTGACGGGCGGTCCGGCACGAATTCCTCGGCCTCATCGCACGATAGTTCCAGTTGCTCGCCCCTCAGGCGTACCCGTCCCTTGACTCGGATAGTCCGGCCGGTCTGCCAGATCTCCTCAGTCCGCTGCAGGGCCTCGGGCCAGACCGTAACCTCCACCACGCCGCCCAGCAGCTCCAGGCCCACGATGATGAATCGCTGACCATCCCGGCGGGCCCTTTCGGTAACTGTGCTGACTATGCCAACCACGCTGACCTGCTGTCCCTGCATCTCCTCGCTGAGCTGGTCCAGCGAGACCACGGAGCCGCCGGTGTTGGCCGCGGTCAGCGCCATCAGCGGGTTGTGGGACAGGGCGACGCCCAGCAGCTCCCGCTCCAAGGAGGCCTTCTCCTCGGGCGACGAATCGTTCGTGCCCAGTATGATGCCCGGCTCCTCCGCGATAGTGCTGCCCGGCCCTGTGCTTGTCGCACCTGGCCCTGCGCTTGTCGCACCTGGCCCTGCGCTTGTCGCACCCGTCCCTGTGCCTGCCGCACCCGTCCCTGCGCCGAACAGGCTGCTCTGGCCGCTGCTGCGCATCTGCGCCTCGCGCTGCGCCGTTGCCACGATGCGGTCCAGTGCCGACAGCACGGCCCCGCGCGGGGCAATGGTGTCGAATGCGCCTGCCTTGACCATGCTCTCCAAGGTGCGTCGGTTCAGGTTGTCCGCGCCGGCCCGCCGACAGAAATCGTCGACCGACCGGTACGGGCCGTTTTCCTTCCGCTCATCCACCAAGCGGCTTGACCGCTCCCTCGCCCACCGTCTTGATGGCCGCCAGCCCGATGCGAAGACCGGCCTTGCCCTCTTCGTCGTGGTCGATGGTGAAGAACTCGCCGGAGCGGTTTACGTCGGGCAGCCACACCGGGATGCCCAGCCGGAAACATTCGTTGATCGAGCTGATGGTCTTGTCGGTGTTATCCAGCCGGGCGTTCAGCACCGCCGCCATGTACTCCACCGGGTAGTGGGCCTTGAAATAGCCTGTCCAGTAAGAGATCAGGGCGTAGCTGACGCTGTGCGCCTTGTTGAACGCATAGCCCGCGAATGGCTCGATCAGGTCGAAAATCTCCACCGCAAGCGACTGGTCGAAGCCCTTGCCGGTGGCCCCCGCCACGAAGTTGTCCCTTTCCTGCGCCATGAGCGAGGCGATCTTCTTGCCCATCGCCTTGCGCACGATGTCGGCGGCGCCCAGGGTGTAACCGGCGAACTGCTGCAGTATCAGCAGCACCTGGTCCTGGTAGACGATGATGCCGTAGGTCTCGTCCAGCAGCTCCTTCAGGCTCGGATGCGGGTACGTCACTGCCGCCCGCCCGTGCTTGGCGTCAATGAATTGGTCGATGTTCTCCATCGGCCCCGGCCGGTACAGCGCGATCATCGCCGCGATGTCCCCAGATGTTCGACGGCTTCAGCTTTTCGATGTACCGCTGCATCCCGCGCTTTCCAGCTGGAAAACGTCCGTGGTGTTGCCTGATGACAGCAGCTCGTACGTGGGCCCGTCGTCCAGCGGCAGTGCTTGCAGGTCGATCTCGACCCCGAGACTCTCCCGCACCAGCTTGACCGCCTGGTCCAGGATCGTCAGGCTGGTCAGCCCGAGGAAGTCCATTTTCAGCAGGCCCAGGTGGGCCACCGGGTCCATGCTGAACTGCGTCATCAGCACCGGGCTGGACTCGTCGCCCTCGCCGGGCGCTGCAGCGGGACCGTCTCGGTCAGCGGTTCGTCGGCGATGAGCACGCCGGCGGCGTGGGTGCTGACGTGGTGGACGATTCCCTCAAGTCCCTGCGCCCGGTCCACGAGCTCGCGAACGGCCTCGTTGCCATCCATCGCGCCCTGCAGCTCGGTGCTCCCTTTGAGCGCATCCTCCAGGTTCCGTGCCTTGAACGGCACCATCCGGGCGATGCGGTCGACGTCGCCGTAGCTCATTCCCAGCGCGCGACCCACGTCCCGAAGGGCCGCCTTGGCGCCCAGCGTCCCGAAGGTGATGATCTGGGCCACTCGGTCGTTGCCGTACTTGTCGATGACGTAGTGCAGCACCTCGTCCCGCCGGTCGTCCTGGAAGTCCATGTCGATATCCGGCATCTCCTTGCGCTCCATATTAAGGAAGCGCTCGAAGACGAGCCGGTACTCCAGTGGGTCGACGTCCGTTATGCCCAGGCAGTAAAGCACCACGCTGGCCGCCGCGCTCCCACGCACGCCGAACAGTATCTCCCGTTGCCGCACGAACTTGATGATGTCCCATACTACGAGGAAGTAGTTGGCGAAACGGGTGTAGCGGATGACCTCCAGCTCGTATCGCAACCGCTCCACGGCTTCGGCCGACGCGTTGGGATAGCGCCGCCGGAAGCCCTCCTCGCACACCTGCGCCAGGTACTCGTCGGCGTCCATGCCGCCGGGTGTGTCGTACCGCGGCAGGTGGGTCTGGCCGAACTCCAGCGATACGTCGCACATGTCAGCGATCACTCCGGTGTTGGCCATCGCCTCGCTGGTCACGTTCGCTGGCAGGCCAGCGAAGAGCTCCTCCATTTCCTGCGGACTCTTGATGTAGTACGAATCGTCCTCCATCCTGAGCCGCTTTTCGTCACGTACCGTGGTGTTGGTTTGGATGCAGATGTATATGTCTTGTAAATTGGACTGTTTCTGGTGCACGTAGTGGGCGTCGTTGGTGGCCACCAGCGGCAGCCTGGTGTCCTGCGCCAGCCGGAGCAGTCCCTCGTTGATCTGGCCCAGTTGCGGCACGTGCTCGTGTTGTTGCAGTTCCAGGAAGTACCCGTCGCCGAACAGCTCTCGGTACCAGCCCGCGGCTTTCACTGCTCCGTCGTAGTTACCGTCGGCCAGCAGCCGGGGCACCTCCGCCGACGGGCAGCCCGACAGGCAGACCAGCCCGGAGCCGAACTCCTCCAGCAGTCCCTTGTCGATGCGGGGACGGTTGTAGAAGCCCTCGACGTGCGCCTTGGTCACCAGCTGCATCAGGTTGCGGTAGCCCGTGTTGTCCCGAGCCAGCAGCACCAGGTGCGCCGGGCTCTTTTCCGACGGGTTCTTCTCGTGCCTGCTGTTGTGGGCGACGTAGACCTCGCAGCCAATGATGGGCTTGATGTTGGCCTCGAGGCATGCCGAGTAGAAGTCAACCACGCCGTAAAAAGTGCCGTGGTCGGTGATGGCCAGCGAATCCATCCCCACTCGCCGGTGCGTTCCACCAGCTCGGGGATGCGGCTGATGCCGTCGAGCATGCTGTATTCGGTGTGGACGTGCAGATGGGTAAACGCCAAAGGGTAGGTCCTCCAGGAAAAACGCAACCGCGCCATCTGGGGCGAGTGCGGGATTCTTTCCCTGCCGCGTGACTCGGGAAATTCCGATCGTTACTGAGAGTACCGGGGTAAATCCCATGGGACAATGGGCGGCAGGGGTTGACGGGCAGGTTGGGAAAGAGACTCTGCTGTCCTCACTGACCCCTCAACCACCACATATGGGGCAGAGCCTCTTGATAGGCCACAATATGACATAATTTCAGGTGCGGTGGCAAGGGGGTGAAAGCCGAATATTCCCATGAAAAAAAGCGGGGTTCGGCCCCATGTTTTCTTGGGGCTGCGAACCCCGGCTCCGTGCCGGGATTGCTACTTCACCCTGTTAGGGGTGGGGCGTCACGAGTCTCGTCGCCTTTCGGCTACTCGTCCTCCCAGGAATCCATCTTTGTCGACATGATCGCGCTGGTGGGCACCGGGTCTTGCCGGTTGATCAGCCGGGTGTCGCCCCAGGTTGCCGTTTCCACGTAGTTCTTGAAATCCTTCGTCTCACCGCACACTTGGCACACTCCCGGGCTGGTGGGACCGTCCGCAGCTTTGATCAGCCAGTGGTGCTGGCAGACCACAACAACCTCGGGGACTTCTTGAACGGCTAGGTTCTCCGCTTGCTGTACCATCTCGCTCACTCTATCTTAAGATCTTTCTTTCAATTTACGAAATTGTATCATGTCATGCCTGTTATCGTCAACACATTCTCCAACACTAGTTGGTAAAAAGGAACTTGATTGCTCTATATCCGGCCACTGGGAGCCTGCCTGAGAAATAATGTTCTAACCGAATATCGTAACCTGCAGGGCTAACTATTCATTAATCAGGCCCATGTGAGCATATTAGTAGAGAATACAATCAGGTCATTACGTTTTTTCGCCTCAACAAACTAATCCTCGGACAGGCTCCCAGTGGATCCCCGCCCCATGCCCGAGTTGCATCATGCAGATTGGTGGCGTTGTGCAGCGGCATTTCCGTTGACTTTCTGCGTCGAAAACTGATTAAATCGAGAGCTAACCGAACTCAGTTTTCTATACTCTTTTCGATTCTGAATTTAGAAGGGGGAAAGTGATGGGCAGGAGCCTTTTTAAGGAACTTGAACGTTCTTACGGTTTCGACGAAGTTGCCATCGTTCCCGGTCTGGTGACTATCAACCCTGAACTCACCTCCACCAAGATGACCATCCGCGACCTCGAGTTGGAGATCCCCATCATGGCCTCCGCCATGGATGGCGCCGTTTCCCCTCGATTCGCCACCCGCATGCACGAGCTCGGCGGACTGGCCGTGCTCAACGGCGAGGGACTCTATTCCCGTTACGACGACCCCTACTCCGTCCTCGAAGACATCATCGCCACCCCCCAGGCCGAGATTACCGAGTTCCTCCAGCAGGTCTACTCCGAGCCGGTCAAGGACCACCTCCTGGCCGCGCGGTCCAGGAGATCAAGAGCTCCGGCGCTACCTGTGCTATATCTTTTACGCCCCAGAGCACCAAGCGGATGTCTCCGGCGGCGGTGGAGGCCGGCGCCGACATGATCGTCGTGCAGTCCACTGTCACGACCGCTAGGCACATGTCCAACAGCTATCGCGGCCTCATCTTCTCCGAACTTATCGAGTCCCTGAGTGTCCCGGTGATGGTCGGCAACTGTGTCACCTATGACGTCGCCATGGAGCTCATGGAAACCGGCATTGATGGCCTGCTGGTCGGCGTCGGCCCCGGCGCCGCCTGCACCACCCGCGAGGTAGTTGGCGTGGGTGTGCCCCAGGTGACCGCCACCCTCGAATGCGCCGCCGCCCGCCAGGACTACTTCGAGAAGACCGGACGCTACGTCGCGGTGATTACCGACGGCGGCATCCGCACCGGCGGGCGACATCTGCAAGTCCATTGTCAGCGGCGCCGACGGCGTGATGCTCGGCACCCCCTTCGCCCAGGCCGAGGAGGCCCCCGGGACGCGGCTTCAACTGGGGCATGGCCAACCCCCACCCCGAGCTGCCCGCGGCACTCGCGTCAAGGTCGGCACCAAGGGCAGTCTCAGCCAGATTCTCTACGGCCCCACCTCGGTCACCGACGGCACCCAGAATTTCATCGGCGCCCTCAGGGTCGGCATGGGAATGTGCGGCGCCTACTCCGTACAGGAACTTGCACAAGGCCGAGATGGTGATCGCTCCTTCCATCAAAACCGAGGGCAAGTTCTTCCAGCTCGGCGGCTAGATTTGGCTGGCGACTCTGGTTTAAGCGGCACTCAGACCCAGGAGGAGCGCATTATGACCACCGCGGAACGCACCATTGAAATCCTGGTCCCCGTCGCCGAGGACGTCCCCGAAGAAGTCGGCCTCAGTGCCTCCCTGTCCGGGCTGGAGGGCAAGGTCGTCGGCCTGCTCGAAAACCGCAAGTACCACGCCGACACCTTCATGCAGGAGCTCGAGCAGACACTGATCAACGACTACGGCGTGAAGCGGATCGTCTACAACCGTAAGGCCACCTACAGCGCTCCGCATCCCCGACGAAAAGCTGGAAGCGCTGCTCGCGGAGTGCGACGCAATCATCCACGCCATCGCCGATTGAGGCAGCTGCACGGCGTGGGGTCTCCGCGACACGGTTATAACCGAATCCGCCGGAAAGCCCTCGGTCAGCGTAATCACCAGCAGCTTCACCCGCGCGGCCAACCTGCGCGCCGCCTCGCTGGGCATGCCCGGCGCCCGCATAGTAGTCCTCCCCAGCCCGCTGGCCAGCCGCCCAGCAGACGACGTCAGGCAGATGGCCCACGACTACGCCCCCGAAATCGTCGCCCTGCTGACGGAAGGGTAGGGGGAAATCAGGTTGAAGCAGGAATGGGTGGTCCGGCTCGATGCGTCCTGATGCTGCGGCCACGATCTCCGCTCTCCTGCTCGTGCCTCTCTTGTTGCTCTTCGCAGCGTGTGAATTCATAGAACAGAACCCACCGCCCAATATCCCGGCTACGGTCGTTGCCGAGGGCTCTACAGTCGCCGCACGAGGCTGCTACGGTCGTTGCGGAGGGTTCGACGGTCGCCGCAGAGGCTGCTGCAGATGCTAAGCAAGCTGTGGCCACAGTCGTTGCCCTCGTCACACCCCAGCCCCAGCCTACGAGCACTCGTGCTGTGCCTACCCCGACTCCGCCCCCAACACCCACGCCGCTTCCTCCCACTCCCACGCCGACAGAAGACCCTCCCCTCAGTGGCTCCGGTCGCTGTAGGGGAGGATCACAACGAAACAATAGTCACCTCGTTGGGACAGCAGGTCGACGTCAAGGTAACCGGCTTCCACCAGAATCATATGCAATCTGAACAGCTGGTTCTGGCCATAAACACTGCGGAACGCTTCCTGGATGTTCCCTATCCCTCCCCCAGGGTCACACTCCAAAGGGTCGGTGAGGTACACGGCGGATTCTGCGGGAACAACGGAATGAGCTATGCCCCTCGACTCGACGATGACCCGTATGTAATCAATGGTTCCGTCATGTCGCTGAAGGTCGATGATGATGCGATGACGCCTTCCGCACCATCGCCCACGAGGTGGCTCATTCCTGGTTCCACCACAACGAACCCGCCGACTGGATAGACGAGGGCCTGGCTAGCGCTATCGAGCAGCAGGTCGTGCAGGCCGTCGCGCCGGGTGAGGTTGTCTACCCGCCGGTCACCTGGTGCGGGAACTACCCCAACATCAGCGAACTTGTGGCGGCCGGCCCCGACAGGATCTATGAGGACCCTTACTCAGGCTACGGCTGCCACTACACCCTCGCGACGGCATATTTGGAGAGCTGAAGAATCTCTATGGGGATTCGGCATTCAATGCTCGAATTGCCTATCTGACCAGGAGGCGGAGGGTGAGACAAAGCCCGTCCACACAATCGACAATATAAGGGCCACGCTCGGCGATGATCCCGCTGCACTGGAAATCATCAATCGCTGGTACGGCGGCCAGCCCGAGATGAGGAAATTCTGCCTCGATGTGTAGTCAATGGACACCTTTCCCGACAACACCGACGGCGCGATTACCATGCACTTCGCGGAAGGACACCGAACCGGCCTTGTTCTGCAACTTCGTGCTCGGCGACGAAAACCCCTTCTGCTCCCAGTTCAACCTCTATCGCAATGTTGCCGGTCAGCAGTGGGTGACCAGCTTGAGCGACCCTTGCCGTGGCTGGACACGCAGCGAGGTCTCCGCGGTCGTGGTAATTAACGACCTGATAGATCCGGGCACTGGGGAGTTCTCGGTAACCGCTAGAATCAACGACCGAAGCATATCTGAAATACCCGAGCTTTCCCTGGTGGTGCGCAGTCGAGTGGAACCTGATGAGTCGAGCACCTGCGCCGGCAGCGAAAGCTATTCTCAGGTGGCTGTCTCGCAAGGCGAAATACCGGCCCAATTGAAAGTGTACAAGGACTACCACTGGGATACGATCGAGTGGATTTATCCCCCCACTATCACGGGAAACACGCTCAGGTTCGTGGGGAAGGCAGCACCTCAAACAATCAGCCTGGAGGACATCGACGGGTACTGCAGCCAATTCAGCTTCTACGAACGCGACGAGAACGGTCACCACTTCTTGGATTACCTGAACTTGCTCCTCCCTGGCGACCGTTTCTGGAGCGGGCCGCTGACCGGCGAAGTGACCTCCTATACCATGGCGAAGACGGCACCTTCGATGCGATAGTCGCCCTCACCAGCAACGCCCTCGCCGGATACCAAAATCCGGTCCTGGTTGTTACAACCCTCGCAGTTCAGGACGAATCCACCAACTTGTGCGAAAACTGGGACGTCCTGTCCGCCATAGACATCCGCTGACTATTACCGCGCCAACCCTGTTCTCCACGCTTTTATTGCCCTCCGGATCTTTGCGTCCACTGGCCGTGATGCGGGCTCGTGACTCCCGCGGCGCGCTGGAGATTGTGGGCCGCTTGGCGGGGACACACCCCAGGGGGTTCTCTTGGTAGAATAGAGATTCCGATGGCTGATTTGAATCGGTACCCTCCTCGTTATTGTTGTTACTCTACCTCGCGGAGCATTGAGTATGCTCAAGGGTTTTGAAAGTCAGCCCAATTTCGATTTGGATGACGGCACCGGGCTTCGAGTAGTCCGCGCTAAATTCCTCGATGAGCAGAAATTCGATTGGGGCTTGTTTGACGAATTCGACAACCTTCGTGTGCTGACCTACTCAGCCAGCGTCAACGCCATTGTCCGGATGCTCGACCAATACTCCTTTGATTCTTTCGAGTGCGTGTTTGGCTGCGAAAACACCCTGCGAGACATCAAGACGGTCCTCGCCTTTCAGCAGGTCGTGGTTGGCGATACCCGCGCTGCCATCATGGGCCTCAGTGATGATCGGCATCTCCGAATCTTGGAGAGGGTTCGCTCTGGACAGGCCCATTTCCGGGTGCTGCGAAAATCGATAGCCCACGCCAAGCTCTACCTGCTCTCCGGTCCCGGCGACCGCAATCGAGTCATCGTCGGCTCCGCAAACCTTTCCGAGCAAGCCTTTTCCGGCAGGCAGCCAGAGACACTGGTTGTTTTCGACGACGACCAGGCCGCTTGGGACCACTACAACCGTATGTATAACGCGATTCGGAACGATGCCTCCGACGAGATTCCGTTGCCTGAGGAGAAGATAACAAGGGCCGAAATTGAAGTTTCCCAAACTCCGGTCCTGTCGGATATCTCTGGCACCCTGGTGATAGATGCTCCTGTCCCCGAGGAGACCCACGTAACAGCTCCGGTGCAAATCGAGCGCATCGAGAAAGTCGCTGCCGTACTCTCCCCGCGCATATCGGCAGTGGTTCCTCCCGTGCGCAACGGACGACAAACGCTGACTCAGCAGGTCAAGCGGGAGTTGAGCAGGATCAGGCTGGTCAAGTCCGCCGAGGAAGCTGACAGCAGATATTTTTCCTTGGACCGCATCACCCGCTCAGGCTTACTCTCTGGCGATAGGTTCGCCCTTGAATGGGACGACAGCTTGGTCTGCAGCGACGCGGAATTGCTCCTCGGGTATTTTCAAAACTTTGAAGAGGCCTTCGATGGAAACGTTCCAGCCCTCCAGCGCGACTATTTCACTCTGATGTCCTGGCTGTACTTCTCCCCATTCCTGTGCGATATGCGGTCACTGGCCCTGTTGCAGGATAGCGACGTAATCCGTTACCCGTCCTTTGCGATCGTCTTCGGCAAATCTAATTGCGGCAAGACTAGCCTTGTCGACACCCTCATGACTTCCATGTTTGGGTTCGCCCACACGGTAGACAAAGGAAGCTTCACCAAGGCGCAACTGCGTGGACTCCAGCACGGCTACAAGCGCTTCCCTGTGGTATTCGACGACATCGGCCGCAGGGCGTTCAATACCCACGGCCGGGATATGATCAAGGACGAGCTGCAACCCGATGTCTCTGAATACCCGGGATTCATCCTGTCCATGAACGCAGAACCACAATCGTTTCCGGACGAAGTGGTGAAGCGCAGCTTGATGATTTACACAACAACGGCTCTCCCGGCTCACGAAGAGGGATTGCGACAGCGGCTGCAGGGCAGAATTCAGGAAATGCGTCGCGGACTGTCAGGGCACCTCTATCGCCGGTACTTGTCGGATGTAATCGAACGCCTGGACGAAGATCGCCTCCCCGAAGACTGGCTCGCCCTTTCCTCCCACACGCTCAGCAAAATCCTGTGTGAGTCCGTTGAGCATGGTCCTGATTGGTGCCGCAGCGTTACTTGGCTGGACTACGCTGAAAAACGCTACGACAGGGTTAAGGCCCGGTCTGTTAACCTGCTGCGTCCCACCGCCTTCGTCAGGAGGCGTGAGGGTGGTTGGAGCCCTAACGGGTGGACCATCGACGGCGACTCTGGTAATCGTCTGGGAGCCCCGTGACGCGTTCGGTAGAAGTGGCTTCAGTTGGGAAGACGTGCCCTCTACTCTGATCGATCAGGACGCCAGTGGCCCCGGACGGACAGTACTTAACCGGGCTAAGCTCGAGGAGTTCACCAACACTCCATTGCGGACATCCGCCTCCCGCTGGAAACTCCCCTTTGGGCTATAAGGAACAACCATGACCACCACCCAACACCTCGCCTCCCGCGACGCAGCGTCCGCCGACTACCCGCCAGGCAGGATACTTCTGGGAGCAGGCTGGACCGACGGCAGCCCGTCGCCCCGCCCCACGAGGACGCCGTCGCGGATGCTGTCTGCCATCGATGCCGACCCGCAGCACTCGCTGGGCGTGATGCAGCCCAGCAACTCCCGCGCCACCCTCGAGAAGCTGGCCATCAACGCCGTCATGGCCGGCTGCAAGCCCGAGTACTTCCCCGTAGTCGTAACCGCCGTCCGCGCCGCCCTGATCGAGGGCTACAACCTCGCCGGCACTGCCGCCACCACCGGCGGCGCTAACCAGGTGGTCATCGTCAACGGCCCCGTCGCTCCCCGGTGGGAATAAAGGAAGACACGAACGGTACCCACCACACCACCACACACAACCAACACCCCCCAAACACCCCCCACCCACCCAAACCCCACACCCCCTAGCTTCGGCACCGGATTCCGCCGACAACGCCCGATGTGGAGCGCCCATGCGGCTGATCATCCGCAACGTCGCCGGGCTCACCCCAGGCGAAATGGACAAGGCCACCCTTAGCTCGCCGGGACGCTACAGCTTCTGCTTTGCCGAGAACGACGTTTGCCAGCCGCCCTTGGAACCGCTCCACGTGGAGCGGGGCTATTCGCCCGACAGCAGCACGGTCACTGTGGCCGGCATCCTGGGCGTTACCGGATAATGGAGAGCACCTCCGGCACCGGCTTTGGCGTCCTCGGTACCATCGTGGGCAATATGAGGACCGTGGGCATCGCCAACTACTACTAGCAGGCCACCGGCGGGCAGGTCATCACTGTGCTCTGCCCCGAGCCCGCCGCTGAGGTCGCCGCCTCCGGACCCCTGAGCAAGGCCGACGTCAAGGACTACGTCTTCCATAACGCCCGTATGCTGTCGGACAGCTCAAGGGCATCGCCCACTACGGCAACCGTACTTGGCCAGCCTGGATCGATGAATCCCGCGACGACGTGATGGTCCCCATCGTCCGCTCCGCGGCCAGCGACGTGGTCGTGCTGGTCGCCGGTGGCAGACGGATCGCCACCACCCTTGCTGGATGGCCGGCTGGGGCGTAACCCTCGTCTCCACTGAGCAGGTCGAGTATTCTTTCCAGGCCTGAATTCTCCTTCCAAGCCGCCACTCGCACTGGAACCTGAGGCCCTGCGTCCTCTGTGCCTGCACAGGTGAAAAACCCAATGCGCCCGTGCGCTGAACCCTGTTTCGCGACTCCTTCCTCTTTTTAGATGAGCAGAGTTTTCCGATGGTTCCCCCTCTTCCTGGGAGAGGGTCAGGGTGAGGGCGCCTTTTGTTGTTCTTTCACCTTTTGGGAGTGGGGTGAGGGCGTTCCAACGTTGGATGCCAAGCCGCTGACGCGCCGGATTCACCCCCACCCCAGGCCCATGGGTATCAGGTCCTGCATAGGAAAATGCGACGCTCAGCGTCAAAATAAGACACATATAGATACATATAAGGACTGGCTCTGCACAATAAATGCCCCCGCACAGGCCCGGAGCGGCAGCCAGCGGGGAACACTCCCACAGTTGACCGCGTAGGCACAGGCAAATAACTTCCAACAAAGGAGATAGGCTGGAGCAACCGGCTGGCCGCACAGGCGGCCCCATGAACCAGGAAAAACATCTCAGCATGGCCCGGGAACTCATGAGGCGGGCCGACCAAGAATCAGGGGACGGCGGCAACGACATGATTGCCGCCGAGTTCTTGTGGGGAGCTCTCGCCCAATGCCTGATAGCCATCGCCCAGAACGACGGACTCCCCCACGACAGCCACGGAGCATTCCTCAGAACCGCCCAGTACCTGGACACCACCCAAGAAGGGAACATCCGACGCTGTCGGTTCGGTTCAGCCGAACGGCTACACCACTACTTCTACCACGGAGACCTGCCGGACGCGGAATTGCGCACTCACAGACGCCGAACACGAGAGGCTATCCTGGAACTCCTGCGAGTGCTGTAAACACACACCGAGGTGAAAACGGCGTAGCTGCAATTCGCTGGAAGGAGACAACGGAACCATCGACAATTCTGAACAAACTTGCACCATAAATCGGGAATACAAAACATTTTCTGTGCAAAGCAATAAGGATTTCCCCCGCTCAGACACCCTCGTTCGGTTGGCCATGTCCCTCTACCGGCCCGCCGGCAGGCCCCCGTACTCGGCCGGCGGACCTCCCCCCGAATGGGAGCCCGCCTTCAAAGTCTGCGCCAAGGCAATCACATTTGAACATCCAGTTGACATTTGCCGCTTGCCAAGCCTTTTGAACTTCGATATTATATGATCATGCGTTCTATGAATAGTGCTCCATCCCTGTGCAGGCATCGCTGCGCCACAGCCGGTGTCAGCCGACAGCCGCGGAGGCATGGCCCGCCAAACGCAAGGAAAAGCAGGAATGGGACACAATGGGACCGAAATTGAAAATCCTTGTCCACATCTTGTCCAAATGCAGTGCCTCAGATAGGAAATAACGCGAATTTCCGGGCAAAATGGGACAATATGGGAATCTATGGGAACGCGTGGGAGAAATCCGTCCCCTTTTTCCTGCTCAAACTCCTGATCCACCTCACGTCCGCCCGTCCCGGATAGCTGCACTCGATTCCCTGCGCAGACATCGTATCCCTCCGGCCAAAAGCGATAGCCCTGAAGTCTTCGGCTCAACCCCTTGTGCGATTGTGAAAAATGGTGCATACTTTCGACACTGATGCTCCCCTGTGGTTCTAGCGCGAGGCGGCCCCACCCGTCTCCCATCTCGCACACGGTAGTAGTGAAAACGCCTCAGCGCCGACGATACTGCTCGGGCGACTGGGTGGGAAAATAGGTCACCGCCGGGAGGCTATTCTCAGGTATCCCTTCTTTAGAAGTCCAACACCGGTGCGAGCTTGGCGCGGGGTATCCCCCGGCCCGTAAAGACCGGAGTGTTCCCCCGTCCCCCCTCACGCCGGAAAAGGACTGGCGAGTTCCGCGTGCCTTTACATTCAAACAACAAACAAAAAACCCTGCTGTGCGCCCAATACAATGGGTTTTTACTGGAGGGAGTTCCTGCGCGTAGGCAGCGCGACCCTCGTCCATCGGTGGAGACCAACCTTTACGCCCCCTCAAGGTCAGGAGCGGTATTATGGGCAGCAGATTCGAGAAGTTTTCGGAGCGCGCGCGCAAGGTTCTTTCGCTGGCTCAGGAAGAGGCCCAGCGTTTTAACCACAACTATATCGGGACTGAGCACATTCTTCTCGGTCTTGTCCGCGAGACGGAAGGCGTGGCTGCCCGAGTCCTCTCCAGCTTATCCGTCGACCTCTCTAAGGTCCGTTCCGCCGTCGAGTTCATCATCGGCCGCGGTGAAAAGCCCGCCCAGGGCGAGATTGGCCTCACTCCCCGAGCCAAGAAGGTCGTGGAGTTGGCGGTCGACGAAGCCCGCCGCATGAATCATACCTACATCGGCACCGAGCACCTGCTCATCGGCCTCCTCCGCGAGGGCGAGGGCGTGGCCGCCGGCGTGCTGGAAAGCCTCGGCGTCACCCTCGACAAGGTGCGCTCCGAGACCCACCGTATCCTTAGCCACACCTCCGGCCAGGGCCAGCAGTCGCAGCAGGTCGCTGTCCACCACCAAGACCCGACCTGACAACCTGGCGCGCTCGACTGACACACGGCACTGCTCGTCCGATATAAGTGGACCCGTGCCTGGCGCGCGATAAGGAGTTGCAGCGGGTCATTCAGATCCTTAGCCGCCGCACCAAGAATAACCCGGTGCTGGTTGGGGAGCCGGGAGTCGGCAAGACTGCAATTGTCGAAGCCATGGCCCAGATGATCGCCAGCGGCGATGTTCCCGACACCCTGCAGAACAAGCGCCTGGTGACCCTGGACATGGGTTCGCTAGTCGCCGGCACCAAGTACCGCGGCGAGTTCGAGGAACGTCTCAAGAAGGTCATCGAAGAGATCAAGAGCTCCGGCAACTGCGTTCTGTTCATCGACGAGATTCATACCCTTGTCGGGGCCGGTGCAGCCGAGGGCGCGGTGGACGCTTCCAATATCCTGAAGCCGTCGCTGGCCCGTGGCGAGTTGCAATGTATCGGCGCCACCACTCTCGACGATTACCGCAAGTATGTGGAACGCGATCCGGCTCTGGAACGCCGTCTCCAGCCGGTGCGGGTGGAAGAACCCACCACCGACGAAACCGTGGATATCTTGAATGCCGTCAAAGAGCGATACGAAGACCACCACAACGTGACCTATTCCAATGACGCCATACATAGCGCCGCCAACTTGGCCGCGCGCTTCATCTCCGACCGCTTCCTCCCCGACAAGGCCATCGACCTTATCGATGAAGCGCGTCCCGGTTCCGCCTGCGCGGCAGCAGCGTCACCCCGGTCTCGGTAAGCGACGCAATGCAGGTGCTGGAATCTGTCAGTCGCGAGAAGGACGAGGCCATCGCCGATCAGCGCTACGAGATTGCCGCAGAACTGCGCGACCGCGAGCTGCAGCAGCGCCAGGACCTCGACGAACTCCGCAGCGAGTGGCAGGAAGGTCGTGGCCGCGAGCGCACGGTCGTAACCGAAGACGACATCGCTGAAGTGGTCAGCATGTGGACCGGCGTCCCGGTCGCCCGTCTCGCTAAAGAAGAAACCGAGCGCCTCCTCCAGATGGAAGCCGATCTACACAAGCGCATCATCGGCCAGGACGAGGCAGTCGTTAATATCTCCAAGTCCGTTCGCCGCGCCCGGGCCGGCCTCAAGGACCCGCGCCGACCGATCGGCGTGTTCATGTTCCTTGGCCCCACCGGTGTCGTCGGCAAGACCGAACTCGTCCGGGCCTTGGCCGAGTTCATGTTCGGCCACGAAGACAACATGATCCGCTTGGACATGTCCGAGTTCCAGGAACGGCACACCGTGGCCCGCCTCATCGGCGCCCCTCCGGGATATGTGCTACGACGAGGGCGGTCAGCTAACCGAGGGTGTGCGCCGCAAGAACTACTGCTGCTCCGTCTGCTCGACGAGCATCAGAGAGGCCCACCCCCGAGGTCTTCACATCCTGCTCAGATCTTCGACGCAGGCACGTGTGAGCCGACGCGCGGGGCCCGCAGGTGGACTTCCGCAACTCCATCTTGGTGATGACCAGCAACCTCGGCTCCGACCTGATCAAGCGCGAGACCTCCGTGGGATTCGCGGTCAAGTCAGAAAGCGCTCGCACCGACCAGAGCGCCTACGAGCGGATGAAAGACAAGGTTATGGAGGAGGTCCGCCGGTTCTTCAAGCCGGAGTTCCTCAACCGTATCGACTCCACGGTGGTATTCCACCAGCTCGACAGGCCCGAGATTCTGTCCATCGTCGACCTGATGATGGACCAGGTACGGCACGAGTTGGACGACAAACAGATCGGTCTGGAGCTGTCTGACGCCGCCAAGGAACACTTGGGCGAAAAGGGCTTCGACCCGGTGCTGGGCGCCCGCCCCCTGCGCCGCCTCATCCAGAATGAGGTGGAAGACCAGCTCTCCGAGGAACTGCTCGCTGGTCGCTTGGGAGCCGGTGACGTCGCCTACGTCGACTTCGAGGACGGCCAGATCAAGATCATCACCAGGGCCCCTACCAGCCTCGTGCTCGAAGAGGAACCGGCCCCCGCCGACTAGTAACTCCGTATCCACCCCGAATCGATGGAACCGGCGCGTTAAGCCTAGTGCTCGACGCGCCGGTTTTTATTCCGTAAGTGCTGGAGGGTGAGATGCCTGCCTGTAATCCGGATTGCCGCCGTAGCATACTGGTGGCCGCCCAGTATGTAGAGCGGCTGCGGTCGAAGTGCTGACCGCAGCCGCCCTTGAGATTGCCGGCGTGGAGTCCTTAATCTGGATGTCCATAGTCCGCACACTGGTGGTCGCCGGGTTATTCGTGCCCGCTTTCCCTGTGGGTAAATGTAGTGAAGCGGCGTGAAAGGGCTGGGCGTCCCAACCTCCGCTGCTGGTCCAGGTGCCTGCCGCAGCCATTTTGATGACAGTTGCCCGCCGACAACCATCCATCTGCTCTCGTATAATCCACTCAGGTAGACTGGGAATGTCAGGAGAGTGGTATGGCGAAGGCGGCGGAACGGCGCAGGACGGTTTACTTCTGCCGGGAGTGCGGGCACGAGAGCGCCAGGTGGATGGGGTTCTGCCCCAGCCCACATTGCAATTCAACCCGTCCCTTGGCAGAGGGACCGGCGGTTCCTCCCCAGTCTTCGGGCAACTCGCGCCGCTCCGCATGGCTGGCTCCTTCGGCCACCGAGCCGCTCTCCCTGGCCGACGTCTCCGCGGATTCTCAGCCCCGGATCGCCCTGTCCTCCGCAGAAATCAATCGCGTGCTCGGTGGCGGTATCGTCCCAGGTTCGGTCTCACTCCTGACTGGAGAGCCGGGCGTCGGAAAGTCTACGCTGTTGCTGCAACTGGCCCATTCACTGGCGGCGTCCGCTTCCTCGTCTCGCACCGCGTCGGTCGCCGGGCCGGTGATGTACGTCACCGGTGAGGAGTCGCCCGTCCAGGTGAAGCTCCGCGCGGACCGAATGGGAGTCAACGGGCAGGGCATCCTTCTGCTCGCCGAAACCGACGTTGACTCCATCCTGGAGCGGCTCGAGGAAACCCAGCCGGGGCTGGTCATCGTCGACTCCATCCAGACCCTGCAATGCGAAGACGAGGCCTCAGGCCCAGGTAGCGTCGGTCAGGTGCGGGAGTCCGCCCTGCGCTTGCTGCGATGGGCGAAGTCCACCGGCAAACCCGTGTTCATCTCGGGACATATGACCAAGGACGGTTCCCTGGCCGGACCCCGGGTGCTGGAACACATGGTCGACGCCGTGCTGCACCTCGAATCGCAGGATTCGGGAGGCTTCCGTGTCCTCCGGGCAGCCAAGAACCGATTCGGTTCCACCGACGAGGTCGGAGTCTTCCTGATGACCGAGCGCGGCTTGGACGACGTATCCGATCCGTCCCGCGCCATGCTGTCCCAGCGGAGCGGGCCGCAGCTCGGCGCCATCGCGACTCCGGCCCTCGAAGGCAGCCGAGCCCTCCTGCTGGAAGTTCAGGCTCTCACCAACTTCTCGCAGCTGCCCGCTCCCCGCCGCGTTTCCAACGGCGTTGACCACAACCGACTTCTGATGCTCACGGCGGTGGCCTCTCGCCGTGCGGGCCTGGAACTGGGCGGTCAGGACGTTATCGTCAGTGTCGCAGGCGGCTTCCGCGCCACCGAGCCCGCAGCCGATCTCGCCATCACACTGGCCATCGCGTCATGTTACCGTAATGCTCCCTTGCCGCCCGCCGCCGCCTTCGGCGAGGTGGGCCTTAGCGCTGAACTCCGTGCCGTCCCGCACGCCCAACGCCGGGTCAACGAGGCCGCCCGCCTCGGCCTAACCCGCTGCATCCTCCCGCAGGCATCCCTGCGCGACGTCGAGGCGCCGCCGGGGCTGCAGCTCATCCCAGCAGAAACCGTAGGCCACGCCATCCGCGCCGCCCTCTCCGCCTCCCACGACGAGCTGGACCTGGCGCTTGCCGGAGACATCCGTCAATAAAGAGCCAAAAAATAACCCTCCCTTTAGGGGGAGGATTATGTTGAGGGTGAATTCAGAGAGACAAGGACCTGTTAGGGACAGTGATTAATTTCGTCCCACCACTACCCATCACCAGCCTGAAGCGCAGCCTCGTGCTCGTGCGTGAACTCGTGGTCCTCGCAGGCCACCCAGCGGGAGCCGTCTTCGTACACTTCTTTCTTCCAGATCGGCACCACTTCCTTGATGCGGTCGACGGCCTTGTGGCACGCGTAGAACCCATCCTTGCGGTGCGGCGAACCCACTGCCACTACCAGGCTGATTTCGCCGATGGCCACAGTGCCAGTGCGGTGCCCGATGGCCACGTCGTCCAGCCCGAACTCGGCCATTAGCTCCTGCCGCACTTCCTCCAACTTCTTGACCGCCATCTCGTCGAAGGCCTCGTACTCCAGCGTCAGCACACCCTTGCCCTCGAAGTTGTCGCGAGTGGTCCCCAGGAAGGTGACTATGGCGCCGTTTGTACTCCGCCGAACGACCGATGTGAACTTTTCGGGGTCAAGGGTCTGGGAGGTCAGTTCAATCATGATTCCCTCGCGCAAGGTCCAGGCTAGCCGCCGCTCACCGGCGGGATGAGGCAAACGTCGTCTCCGGGTTTCAACACCTCGTCGGACTCGGCGTAGTCAGCGTTAACGGCTACCACGATCTTGACCTCCGGAGGCGCCAGCCGCGGAAACCGCACCCTCACCGCGTCGGTCAGGTCGGACACCGTGGCGCCGCTGGGCAGTTCCAGCGAGAACTCCTTGGTGCCGGCCCGCTCCCGGTAGAGCGCAAACAGTCGAACAGTCAGTTCCATGCCCTGATTGTAGACCCTGCGGTCAACCGCGCCTAGTGCATCACCAGCCCGCCGTCCACGTTGAACGCCTGCCCCGTGATGTTGCGGCGCCCGGGCCCGCCAGGAAGCGCGCCATCGCCGCAATGTCCTCCGGCGTGTTGGGACGGCCAATCGGTATGCGCGAGTCGCGAAGCTGCTCCAGCTCCGCGATGCTCTGGCCGGAGGTGTCGGCGCGGCCCTGCATGGTCTCGGCGGCCATCTCCGTCAGCGTCGACCCGGGGCAGATGGCGTTGACGTTGATGTTGTGCTGCCCCAGTTGGTGCGCCGCGATCATGGTCATCGACAGCACCGCGCCTTTGCTGGCCGCGTACGCCGCATTCGACGTGCCCGAGTACCCCTTGCCCGCGATCGAAGCGATGTTCACAATCCGCCCGCCGTCGCCCTGCGCGATCATCTCCCGCGCGGCGCGCTGCATGCCGAAGAACACGCCTTTCGCATTCACCCGGTGAATCCGGTCCCAGTCCTCCTCCTCCACGTCCATCACGTACAGGTAGCGGGTGATGCCTGCGTTGTTGACGATAATGTCGATGCGCCCGAAGGCGTCCTTGGCCTGCGTGATCATCCGGTCGATGTCCGAAACGCTGCCCATGTCCGCGTGGATGGCCAGGCTCTCCCGGCCCAGCGCCTTGACCTCGACGCTGGTCTCCTCCACGTTCTCGGCGTTGATGTCGGCCACCGCCACGTGGGCCCCGGCGTCGGCCAGTTGCAGCGAGATGGCCCGGCCCATGCCGCGCCCCGCACCGGTAACCACCGCAATCTTGTCCTGAAGCTCCATGGGAGCGTCCTCCTGATGGGAAAGTGGGGAGAGTGTAGAAATCGGATATGTTCAGTCAGCTACCGGACCACTCTCAGGCTTGGCTTGTTCCGTCTTGGTCTCGTGTGAGAATTTCAAATTGGGAAGGCGAACACGGACGGCATTGTCCCAATCCACGTAGTCAAAGGAGTCGTGCGTTTCCCAGAATAAGCACTCCTCTTCCTCGCTGGCGAGTGCCGGAATCGGCTTAATTTCCTTGGGCATATCGATCAGGCTCCCTGCGATTCATGTCGCGAGCGGAAATTACTCGGATGATTGTGCCTTGATTCCTCACAGTAAAGGTAACGTGGAGCAAACGACCATTCATGCTGCCTCCAAGTGCATTATAACGCTGTTCAGACTGACTATGACGGATGTCCCGGTCGAACAAAAGGCGTTCATCTGCAAAGACCTGTTGGGCTTCGGCTTGACTTACGCCATGCCGCTCCTCGCTCTTTCTGGCGTTGCCGTCATCCCATTGAAATCCGATTACGTCGCTAAGGTCAACTGCTGGACTCATTTGCAGGTCAAGTTACAGGCTATGGCCCAGGCGTTCAATACCAGGCGGTGGTAAAACCCTAGACTGATGATCGTTGAAAAACCGCCACCCCGCCGCTACACTCGCCGCAACTCAGATAGAGAACACCACGGAGGCCGAGCATGGCAACACAGACGCGAGTAGACACCATCGTCCGCGGCGGCCAGGTCGTTACGTCGTCCCAGGTCCTTGACGCCGCCGTGGCGATCCAGGGCGACAAGATCGTGGCGGTGGCCCCCGAGCACCTCCTGCCGCCCGCCGACCGCGTCATCGACGCCGAGGGCAAGTTCGTGCTCCCAGGCCTCATCGACGCCCACGTCCACCTCGACGGCCACGACGACTACGCCCTAGGCGCCCGGGCCGCAGCCCACGCCGGTATGACCACGCTCATCCCCTTCGCCAACTACACCCTCGACGGCGATGAGACGCTGGTGCAGTCCGGCAACCGCATCCGCGAGGAGATCAACGCCTCGGCGGTCGTCGATTTCGGCTTCCATTTCATCCTGCAGAATCGCCCTTCCATCCTGCGCTCTCTTCCCGAGGCCATGGACATGGGCTTCAAGTCCTTCAAGATGTTCATGACCTACAAGAAGCGCCCCGGCCGGATGTGCGACGACGACTACATCTGCCAGTCCATGGAGATGGTCGCCCGCGCCGGTGGGGTGCTACAGTTGCACTGCGAGAGCGGCAACATCATCGAATACCTCGAGAACAAGCTCATTGCCGATGGCCACACCCACCCGGAGTTCTTCCCCGTCGCCTGCCCCGACTGGGCCGAGGAGGAGGCCATCAACCGCGCCATCGCCATGGCCGCCGCCACCCGCTGCCCCACCTACGTCGTCCACCTCAGCACCCAGCTTGGCCTCGAGCGCATCAAGCAGGCTCAGGCTCAGGGCCAGCGCATCTGGACCGAGACCTGCCCCCAGTACCTGCTCCTATCCGACGCCGAGATGAGCAAGGTCGGCCCGCTGGCCAAGATCGGCCCGCCCTGCGCCCCGAGGACGGCCCCGACCGCGACGCCCTGTGGGCTGGCCTGCAGCAGGGCCACATCTCCATCGTCGCCAGCGACCACTCGCCCCACCCGCAGGAGCTCAAGAAGCCCGGCTGGGACAACATCTTCGTCACCCCCGACGGGCTCCGTCCCCTTCGGCTCACCCGGCATCGAGACGCTGCGCCCCTGATGTACAGCGAGGGCGTGGTCAAGCGCGGCATGCCCATCACCTGGCTGGCCCGCGTGATGGCCGAGAACCCCGCCCGCGTCTTCGGCCTCTACCCCCGCAAGGGCGTCATCCAGCCCGGCGCCGACGCCGACCTGCTGATCCTCGACCCCGGCGTGGACCGCGTCATCTACGTCTGAGGACCACCTGAGCAACGCCGGCTACAGCCTGTTCGAGGCTGGGAAATCACCGGCCGCCCCTGGATGACCCTCCTCCGAGGCAAATCCTGCTAAACGACGGCAAGCTCGAACAGCAACCCGGCTCCGGCCAGTTCATGGAGTGCCAGGGCCCCACCACCCCCCTCGCCGGCCCGGTGAGCTTAGGGTGTGACGCCCCAATTGGTTCACCGAGGGCGACCACGGGCGTGCTTAATTAGCAGTTTTAACCGTGCTACTGTAGTTTAATCGCCATCTTGACCAAACTTGGGCAATTACTGTAGCGATTGACAGGATGCTCTGGCAAAGGACTTACAGTTTCGGCAATATTACTTGCAGTTTTGATAGGCGTGAGGAGTGCGCCCTAATAACGCTATGAGGATGAGATTCTCACGTGCAGGAGCGTTTGACGTAAGCTGAGTCAAGCCTTCAGCCCCTCGCTACCGGCGATCATTCGCTGGTGATCTATTCCAGGGTCGTCGAACTATAATCAGGCGGCTAATAGACGCCGTAAATCAGGCTGGACAGCACGCGATCATCTATGGGGAACGAGGGGTAGGCAAGACCTCGCTGGCGAACGTGCTAGCCAGTTTTCTGGAGCCATTCACCTCAGAAGAAATAATCAGCGTGCGAGTGAATTGTTCTAGAGAAACTTCATATCAGCAAATCTGGGAATTCCTGTTTCGTGATCTAGGTCTGACCCTACCGAAAAAACCCGGACGCACTACACCTGAGGACGTGTTCAACACGCTCCGAGCAGATGAAGGAAGGAAGCTAATTCTCATTGTCGACGAATTTGATCGACTGGGGGATCCTGACGTAGACACGCTTTTCGCCGACACCATAAAGACATTCTCTGACTTTAGCTTGGACACTACATTGATTCTAGTGGGTGTGGCGGATGACGTTGACGACCTAATTGAGGAACACGAATCAATTGACCGTTGCCTCGTACAGATTCATCTACCGCGTATGCCCTTTGAAGATCTGGCAGAAATCGTTAGAAATGGAGTCACCTCAGTTGGGATGGAAGTGTCTGATGAGGCGATATTTTGGATATGCACCGTGTCACTAGGCCTACCTCATTATGTTCATTCGCTGGGGCTCGCATCCGGCAGGTGCGCGATCGATAACAACGATTGCTCATCCAAAAGAAAGACGTAGAGGGCGCAATAAGCGCTCTTGTCAACGAATCACAACAGACGGTCCTGCGTGAATTCGATCTTGCAACCGCTAGTCCCCGCAGGGAAAACTTTTATTTTCAGGTTCTATTGGCATGCGCTTTGCACGACGGCGACCTAAAATAAAGCAAGGTGGGATGTACATTTAAGTGGCGATGATGATCAGCCGGGTTGCGCGGGTTAATTCCTCTCATCCGTACCTGGAGAATGACCGTCCTCGTCGCTTGTCTCCCACCGTCTGCGCATTTCACCTTGGCTTCAGTTCCGCAGTTTCGAGCAAGCAGACATTCGCTTACCATTCTCGCGCATAATGAGACGCGAAATGAAAATCCCGACATTCGCAAGACACTTGCAGGCTTGAGTAATGACAGCAGAGGAGCTGTGTACAGCGCCTCGGGAACCTCATCGATATCGGTTTAGGTCTCCGACCATTGCTGCAGCCTTACGTGCTCAATGAAGAGGGCTCCAAAGCAATTTACTCACTCTTGAAGAGGCTGCTTCTTTTGCTTCTAGTCAGAGCGAATCTAAGTCATTTGAATAATCAACCTACATTAAGATTCACTAACTGGCTATTGCAGAACAGACCGAGTCTACTAACCGCTCGGCACCTCTCGCATCTCGCTAATTCCCACTTACCTAAAAATGCGCATCACCTCTCGTCATCAGCCTTAGCGAGTTGACAACCCGGTCCGCCGGAATCGCCCCCGTAGTTGACCTCCATCACCACGCCCGTCACGCCCAGGTCCTCTGTACCCTTGATTATTATCACGATCTTGGCGGGAGTGCCGAAGACCACCCGCTCCTCGAGCACCTGCTCGTAGGGCGCGGCGGCGATGCGGCGCATCCGCTCTGCGGTCTCGGGTTGGCCGCGGTCTGGATCAGCTCGGTTACGGCGTACTGGATCGCTCCCAACGCGCTCACCTCGGATCCTCGTGGGCCTGCTCCGTCGTCTCGGCGCAGTACACCGGCACGCGGATGGCGATGTCCGGAGTGCCCGAGAAGCCCGACTCCGCCAGCTTTTCGCGGTATGACGCCAGCCGTTCCTTCAACGCCTCGCGCCCCGTGTTGGCGCTGATG